AAGAAAAACATATATTTCCCCTCTTGTTATAACTTCCTTATTGTTGAAGTCTGGTGGGATATTTCCCGCATTTACAAAACTTTCTCCTGGTTTTTATAATTAGTATTGTCTACTTAAAGGGACCGTCTACGTAATTTTAAGTGGTCCTCGTTTAAAAATGTCAAACATCCGATTGACAATGGTACTCTTTAACCCTTTATCTCTATGAATCCGGATCTGGATAAAAGTATTGGATGTGAAACCGGATCCGGATACAAGTATTGGATGTGAAACCGGATCAGGAGATAAGTATTGGATGTGAAACGGACAAATAACTTTTTACTTTTTAATGGAGTGTCACTAGAAATTAGGTCAAAGGCACCTTTTATAACCTTAAGTTAATTATAGGTGCAATATTCTCATAAATGAATTACTCATTTCACTTAATAAGTAATTAAAAAACTTACAAGTAAAGCTAGTAAAGTGAATCAAATGCACTTTAATATTGCTTTAATGTCGTCTTCCTATTCTACGGTTGTCTGGTTATTAATTCATCATGTGTGTTGTAATTGAATAAAGGGATTCCTTGTTATATAATACTCCTTCGATAATACAAATGATAATAACAATATACAGATAACATAATTAAAATAAGTTTTAGCCATTTAGACTAAAAGGAATTGAGTCTTTGCCCCAATCTCGGATTTTGTATCCCAATATTTAGCTTTGCAAACCAATGTCGTAGACCTTAGATATTTCAAATTTTGAATTCAGTTAGTTCAAATAATCTGATTTTGAAATATCAAAAGTTTATACCATCAGGTTGAAAAGATATTGAGATTTTAAAATTTGAAATTGTCACAAAAACTTAATTCTTTTGTATACTTAAAATAGAAACATATTTTTGTTTTAGATTTGGAATATGTTTAAAACAAATTTGTAAATCAGTGTGTCTGAGAGGGTGCGCCAAGCACATTAAAAACTTTGTAGGTTTTTACATTTAAGGGGTTATTTCTTGATTTATCCAGAGAGGCGTACACAAGATTTCTTGATTTATCTATTAAGCTATGGATCAGTTTTAGTCAATTCACTTGAAGCTTAGATTTTTTTACTTTTAAGAGTTTCAACAAAAATCATCAGAGAAATTATAATTCTCTTATATTTTTCTTTTTAGATAAAAATAATACAAAGTTAAATAAATCAAAATTTTACAGAATACAGTTTTGAAATATTAAAAGCTCACAGTACTTGTGGGGGACCTTAAAAAAACCAAAAATAAACTTAAAAATGTATTAAGAACAAACTAAGCTATTATCTTTATCAATACTCTTTCAGCTTGCATTTTAAAAAGCTACAAAAAGAAACTGAATTATCGTCTGACCATTTTATCTTGCAAAAATTCAAATTAATTCTCGATATTTTCGAAAAAAAATATTTAGAAAAATTTACTTCCCAATCTCCATTAATCTTTTTTCCATGAAACAAAAATAGTTTGATGCTAAAAACAGAACTATGAAAAAGAAAGAAAAAAATCAAAAACCAATTTTTATTTAATTGTTTCTAAACAATTTTGTATAATTCTTTTATTTTCTCTGAAAGGTTCAGATATATTTTCAAAAGTTTACAAATAAATGTCCTATCATCATTTAGAATGGTGCTATAGCTCAAGATTGGAATTTTTGAAAAACAACAGAAATAAGAAAATAACTTTATTCAGAAAATACTGATTCTTCAAATATTCTTACATATGTTTTGTCGAAAAATCTTTGAGATATTCTAGTCCAAAATGATGTGAGATGCTAGCTGTATATAACAAAATGATGTGAGATGCTCTGTATAACAAAGTGATGTGAGATGCTCTGTATAACAAAATGATGTGAGATGCTCTGTATAACAAAATGATGTGAGATGCTCTGTATAACAAAATGATGTGATATTTTCTGTATAACAAAGTGATGTGAGATGCTCTGTATAACAAAGTGATGTGAGATGCTCTGTATAACAAAGTGATGTGAGATGATCTGTATAACAAAACGATGTGAGATCTCTATATAACAAAATGATGTGAGATGCTCTGTATAACAAAATGATGTAAGATGCTCTGTATAACAAAGTGATGTGAGATGATCTTTATAGAAGAATGATGTGAGATATCTGTATATCAAAATGATTTGAGATGCTCTGTATAACAAAATGATGTGAGATTATCTTTATAACAAAATGATGTGAGATCTCTATATAACAAAATGATGTGAGATGCTCTGTATAACAAAATGATGTGAGATCTCTGTATGACAAACTGATGTGAGATGCTCTGTATAACAAAATGATGTGAGATGCTCTGTATAACAAAATGATGTGAGATGCTCTGTATAACAAAATGATTTGAGATCTCTGTATAACAAATTGATGTGAGATGCTTTGTATAACAAAGTGATGTGAGATACTTTTTATAAAGTGCAGGAATGTCGTCGTACTCTGTAACGATTTTATGAACCCAAACCTTAAGATAACTTTTTCCTTCAACAAAAATAATTCTGTTCTAAAACAATTCTTGCTTGAATTAGTTGTAGAGGGGGGGGGGGGGTCAATCATAATAACATAATAATGTTACCTCTGGAGTTTCTCTAGAATTGTTTAAATGTCTGCCTCTTTTCCCTCTTCTTAAAGCTTGAAGTTCGGAGAGAAAATCTCCCAAAACTACATATTCATCTCCCCTTCTACGTTCTCCCTCCCCCCTCCTCCGACCTTCCAGAAGTATTTTCTTGAGACGAGTCCAATCAGAAGCAATTAGTCCCACATCTAAGTTTGTCTGCCTCTTTTCCCTCTTCTTAAAGCTTGAAGTTCGGAGAGAAAATCTCCCAAAACTACATATTCATCTCCTCTTCTACGTTCTCCCTCCCCCCTCCTCCGACCTTCCAGAAGTATTTTCTTGAGACGAGTCCAATCAGAAGCAATTAGTCCCACATCTAAGTTTGTGCAAACCTGAAAAGAAAACCTTTAAAGAAAAGCCAAAATGGCAAGATCGGCAACAGGCGCGAATTACTCTGAATTTCTTTTTAAACTCTTGTAATATGAAACTGAAATGACAAAAAGTCAATATCTATAAATCTATGTTTATGTGCGTAATAAAATAGTAGGATATTAAATTATGTATATTTATATTTTTTTTTTTAGCATTCTTGTATGCCTGGAGNTGCAAACACAGCGCAGTCTTCTGTGCGCAGATAGAAATTACATAGTATTATACATATTTGGACATCGGGGCTGTTGGTTTCGATTATAGATTACAGTTGGCCCCGGGCCCATAGTTCCTAGTTATATATGCATAGGTGGACGGATACAGGAGAGGATGGGATGAATGAATGAATGAATGACCAGGAAGAATCTGGGATGAAAGATGATGAGGATGATCGGGGTGTAATTTTCCTCCTGGAAATGCTGGATCAACATTTCAGATTTCTTCCGCGTTTCTGGAAAAAAACGCGCATTTTTCTTGGTATTTTAAACTGTCAAAACACAAACACATAAATATGATACAGGGTTACCCACAAAGGATGAAATTCCAGAGACGACTGTACGGAATCTATTGATTGAGTCTTGTATCTTACATTATAGGTTTCAAGTTACTGTTAACTTGTGTTTTTCTTTGTTAAATCATTATAAAAAGACATTAAGAGATTATATTTAAGGCAGAAAACCATATTTTAATAGTTCCAGGTCGTCTTTACTGTCTCATCCTGTGTGGGTAACCCTGTAATATCAATTGTTTTGAATAAAAATATGCAATTGTAAAATATTGTCAAAGTAAATTTTCTGAAAAATTGTTATTTCTTTGTCATTTTGTCGTTAAGAAAGTTTAAAAATAGATTCCAAAAAATGTAAACACATCATGCTTACTGCTCAATTATAGATTTGTTTATAAAAACACTGTCCATAAGCTAATGCAGTTTGAAGGACGTGCTGTGAACAAGATGGTAGATTTAGGGTTGGGCATGATTTTCCTGTTTATTAACATACTTTTTTTTACCTAAAATCCACTTCTAAAAGGTTTTAGATATTTTGTTGCATGCAGGGTTACCCTGCACAAAAAATGAGACTTAATAGACGACTGTACGTAATTTTTTTTAGTCCGTTTTCTTGCATTTGGGGATTCTTTGCAAGGAAAAACCCGGCTTATTTCTATGCTTAATCATTTAGCAAACCATCAAAATACTTGAATGCAGAAACTAAAATCAAATTTAAAATTGTAATACTTTTAGATTTTTTTTGTAGTTTCATCCTTTGTGGGTAACCCTGAGCTTTGTAAGGTTTATTGTTGCCTCTGAAATAAGATAAAAGTCAGAACGGGTATTCAAATTGTTTGTTTTTTTTGTTCAGGCTTTGACTCCAAATTTTGCACAATTTCGCAAGAGCAAACTCGAAGAGCTTAAATTTTTTGAATTATTCGCAGATTTTCATAGAGTCTCCAGAAATACAAAAGTGTTTGAATTTTGAAAAATAACGATGTCCAACTTTAGGTATATTTAAACCTCTCAAACAGCCCCAAAAGCTTGTGAGCTATCATCTATCCCGGATTCTGGGAACATTAAACTAACCAATGGATATCACGTATGCTAATCCTAGAGCGCTAAACCTATTAGTGAGAATGCGAGACTAGGATTGAATTTTATGCCTAATTCCTTATAAGCTATAGGCCCGACCCTGGCTTGAGTTTCAAGGCAGTAAGGACCATATAACTAAACTACTTTATGCTTAAATACCCCTTCAGGCCTGAACCACCACATTCCAGGCAAAAAAAGGACTTGGGCGTGTAGACTTTGTATGAAAAAAAATAAAGTTCACAACTTTTGTTTGAGAATTTAACATTATACAATTTTTTAAAAATTATTTTAAATTTATTTTGTGTACACGATTTCAGATTATGTCATTTTTATACTCTTACCGCGTTGATGTTAGGTAATAAAAGGTTTATTACCTATAATGCCAATCCTGTATTTTTTAACTCTTTGAACATCACGCATCATGTACATACAGTACATTGTGCAAGCCCTACCCTTTTTACGGTTGCCTTTAAAGCGCATAGCTTCCTAATGGTTGAAGCAGTGCCTTTAACTAACATACAATAGAAAAACAATGAGAACAAAGGAGGTGTAAAAGATGTTAATTGTTAAAAAAATGGTTTTAGCAATTCAAGGTGTCCAGAGGCCGAATTTAAAGAATTTGAGCCGCGGCTTAAATTTGAGAGGCGGCTCAAATATGGTTGTTCCATTTAAAAATGTATTAAATGTTTTAAGATTTAAGCCAGTATTCAATTGAAACAGATCTGGATGAATTTGAGACGCGGCTTAAATTAAATCAATTGAAATATGTTTATTTTCATGCTAATTCAGACGTCAGCACTTTTGTGTTTTGAATCTTGGGATTAATCATTGATCTCCACTTACCTTCGGATCAATTCAATCCCTCTTTGATATATCGCATGGTGATCATACCCTGCAGGAATAACTTTAATTATAGGATTAAGAATTGCTCCTCAAATTCAAAAGTACCCTACATTGGATATCGAGATCAAACATTAAGAATAAACAATCAACACTATAGTTTCGATCTCTTGATTTAGACTTTTTGCCTTTCAAGAGACTTCTAGAAATCAGAGAATTTAAATATTTCTAAATTTTTGAATTAAAAGTTCACGCCTTTAACACACTAGGCAAAAGCCCAGAAGGGTTTTCTAATTATTTCTTAATCATAATCTTTCTTAATTCAGTAGTTAGTGCCGAAAAATATTAAATATATAAAGTTTTGCCAGGAAAAAATCTTACAAAGTTTGAAACTTTTGTTCAAAACTTTTGTGTAAAGTGTCGTTAATCTTGAACATTTGATCACGATATCCAGTGTGGGAGCTTTTGAATTTCAGGATCAGTAAAATTATTCCTACATATTATGCCACCTCGTGATATCAAATTAAATTAATTTCCATAATATGGAGATCAATACTTGATCCTGCAAATTCACAACACAAAATATTTAAAACATTGTTGCAGGGTCCCCGGGGCCTAATTCCATAAAATTAAAGGCAAAAATTCCCCGAAAATCACAAAAACAATGAAGTAATAATGACCTCATCTGAGCGTAGGGAGAAAACAATAAAAAGCCTATTTCATGCAGTAACCGGAGAATCAGGCAGTAAATGTATAAATCAAGGTTTTCAAGGCTAAAAACTCAGAAAAAGTTTTCGTAAGATTATATTTAAAAAAAATGATGAAAAATATAATGTATGCATAAGGGGTGTTATACAACGTGTTTCCAAAAAAATCTGCATTTTGGCCCCAACCATTTGTTGATAAAGATACTAATAGGACAATAAAATTAGTCGTGACAAAAATTTTGGGTTATACAATATACACCCCAGGAAAAGAGAGTTTTTAGAGATAAAGGGAGGAAATTATAAAAAAAGTGGGACGGGGTTAAGAGAAGGCAGTAGTGCATGGAGAAGATAAAAAAAGAATAAAGAGAAGGTTGATATTACTGTAATCACTTTGTGACCTTGTAACACCTCTAGTTCTGAATGAATTTAAGCACAAGTATGAGAAAAGAAAATTTATCTTGGGACATAGAATATCAAACCAGTTTTATTCTTCTCTTTACCTCTACAACAAGATACGTTATAATATTGAAAACATATACAAGGTTTCAATATTAGAATATCAAANATCTATCTATCTATCTATCTATCTATCTATCTATCTATCTATCTATCTATCTATCTATCTATCTATCTATCTATCTATCTATCTATCTATCTATCTATCTATCTATCTATCTATCTATCTATCTATCTATCTATCTATCTATCTATCTATCTATCTATCTATCTATCTATCTATCTATCTATCTATCTATCTATCTATCTATCTATCTATCTATCTATCTATCTATCTATCTATCTATCTATCTATCTATCTATCTATCTATCTATCTATCTATCTATCTATCTATCTATCTATCTATCTATCTATCTATCTATCTATCTATCTATCTATCTATCTATCTATCTATCTATCTATCTATCTGGTGAAAAGAAAAAGCGGATAGAATATTTCTGCTTGAGGATATATTTAGCTCTTCGTCATCAATATGTGTATATATATATATCTATCTATCCCTATATCTATCCATCTATTTATCTATCTATCTATCTATCTATCTATCTATCTCTATGCAATAATGTTGTATCTCTCCTATGTATAAGATTAATTATAAACCAGGTTACACCGTTTATCATCAACATTCTTAATTCTCATGTTTGGTTAATATATTTTCTAGGCACTGTCTTTAAACAAGGGAATGTAAACGTATGTTCAAGTGACCTTCATGTGCAAAGATGAAAATGCCCGATTCACAACGGTACCCTTGACACCTTAATCTGATCTAAAAAGTGGAAGATGCCGTCGTTTTTCTAACTCGAAAATTGTTTATTTTTGTAAGTTTCTCCGCTGCTTCTTATAATCAAGAAATACGCAAGTCATTTTCGCTGAGAAACCACAAATGAAAATAAACAGTTTAAAGAAACAAAAACATGGATGTATCTAATTCATCTTGAAAAGGCACAATTTTTAAGGGCATTGTCATCTTTGCATTGAGGTTACTTTAAATTACGCTTACAGCCCCTTTAACAGAACAAGGACAGAATTTTAAGAAACAAATATATATGTTTTCAAATTATTTGCTTATAGAAAATATAAATATGAATTTGATATTAGATATTCTTAAACCAGTTCTGCGCGTCATTCCTAAATTTATGAATATTCTTGGTTTGGACATTTTACTTGTCAAGTTCAGATTCAAGGAATTTCATCTAAGTGCGCAGAGTTTATCTGGAGTCAAGTTTCAATTAACTATTTAGTCAAACTGTTCCTGGAAAGAACCTAGCAAATCTTTCCAAAGTTGATTTTTAATTTCGGATAGAACTGCAACAAATTCTAGATGTTTATAAAGTGTTTTTTTACAGTGTTTCTGTACAATTTTCAAATATGTACGGAATTATGTAAAATTTTCAAAAACATGTGCATTAGAAAGCGATCTTTCAGATTCTTCTGAATATTTATTTATTGATAAAATATTAAAATCTATTTAATTTTAATTATGCAGATATATTACAAAGAGTTAGAAAGGTAGGTGGGGGGGGGGGAGGCAGTATCTGCATAAAATTATACTGCAATGGCTTCAAAATAAAAAGAATAAAAATATAAAATGAAATTGATAATTATATAATATTTAGGTTAAGTTAAATTTCGTGCTGACTTGAAATTGTTTAATATTGAAACTGTATACAGAGGAGATATATCAGATATCAATTCATTTACTCAGATAGAACATCATTACAGGAATGTTAAAGATTTAAACATTAGAAACTTGGTGTTTATTACCGTTCAAAAATAGGAATGGTAAATCTTGAAATTTGAACTTTTTCGCTAATCAATGTAAACCACTAAACAATATGATCTTCCTAAATTACAAAAAATAAAAAAAACCTTATTTTACCACTCATACCATTTTCATAAATAAGTTTATGTCAGGCATTCAGTCTTTTTCACAAACTCTGATTTTCTTATCCCTAAATGTTTGCAACACATTGTCGTAGACCTTCGATATTTTGAACTATAAACTATGTTAGATCAAATAATCTAAGTTTAAAATATCAAAGGTCAGCATCAGGTTGCCAAAATATAGGAATTAAACAATTTGAGTTTGGGCTCAATTCCTTTCTTGAAATGAATTCTAAAGAATCAATGCAATGGTTTGTTAAAAATGTCTGGCCTAAGCTTAATAGAAAATGAAATTGAGTCCTAGTCATTTGTAAAGCAAATGTTTAACGCTAGTGAAAGTTTTAGAACGAATGAGTGTAGTTGAAATAATAACAACGAGTAAAAAGAAAGATGACTGATTTTAGTAATCAACGTTATCTATCTATCTTTCTATCTATCTATTCATCTATATTAATTTATCTATCTATCTATCTATCTACCTAAACAAGTGTTGAATTCTGTTAATTTCCTTCAATTCCTCTTTAAAAAAGGAAACTCAGACAAAAATTTTAAGGTATCGTTCACTGTGCAAGGTCGACTGTACACTGGGTAGTCTAGACTGTACAGTACGACGGAATGCATGTACGTAGAGTACATGTTGTACCGGCTCGATTCATGTGACTTTTTAAAGTGGGATGCATTGTGATGGTGAGGTGATGGTGAGGTGAGGTCATATAGAGTTTGAACGTTTAAAACAATTTACGGCTATAGTTATCAATTATTTAATTATAAAGTTAACACTAATTATAAGCTCAGTTAGCTAAATGAATACAGTTAGAGAGTATTATGTAAAAACTGTATCATAAACCTGGATCATATCACGGGAAAAATATCAAGCCGATAATTGATATTTAGATAAATAGATGTCTACGCATTTAATTTTGATAACCACAATTATGATTAGAGCTCCGACATGTACTTTTTATGTTGTTAAATAGTAAAAATACTTCCTGAAAGGGACTGTAAAGGAAAAATGAAAGGGGGTATAGGCTGAAACCTGAGAATCTCTTTTTTCATTTTTCCTTTACAATTCCTTTAAAGGGACTGTCAACTAGTTTTAAGTGATCTTCCAATTAATAAGTTACACGCCCGATTCCCCACGGTAGGGTTTACATAGTTTTCTAAGACACAATGATTAGTTGTAAATAACTGATTTCTTCGGTCTGTCATAAAAATCCGCAAGTTATTTTTACAGAAAAACCATTTCAGATAATTTTTAAAAAAAGTATACACTTTCAAAGAAGAAGCTTTTAAATTATATATTTACGTACATCTAAAGCAATTTAAGCAATTTAAATAATTTTAATGTTGAACAATAAGTCTGATCAATAATATGGAATATAACATCGTTTTTCAGACTTAAAAACTGTTATTCATCATAATTTCTTCATTGTTTCTGAAGCAAGAAATGAGCAAGTTACTTTTGCAGAGAAACCCCAAATAAAGGTGAACAGTTTTGAAAAACAAAAACATGGTTAACTTATTCATTTTGGTTCCGACATAGCTTTTAAGAATACCATTGTGAATCGGAAATGTCAGTCCCTTTAATAAAACATTTTAATGAGAATTCGTGTTAAAATACTAAAACATGTCTGCCAGTATACACTACACGTATACATACTGTTATTTTAAGCAGCTTATTTAATGCATGTATCACGAATATTGATTCTTTTAAACGATACAGCCATACAAAGTGTTATATACAGGGCTATTCATAAAGAATGAGACTTTGTCAGACTGAATTTGTCCAACACCGTTACAGCTGTAATCCTTTTTCTTTCTTTATCAAATCATGTTAAAGACTATTTTCAAGTAAAAAAACAGAATCATTAAAGGGGGTTGACTCGTCATTATGAACGAATATATGTGTATAGTTCTATAATGTACGGAACTGTACGTAAAAGCAATATATATAAAATATAGGTATATATATGGATATATCAGATACATATGGCGTGTAGGATATGAAAGACTGGGAGTGTACCTGTTCTAAATAAGAAAATGGCATCTGTGAGTCAAGATTCAGGAAAGATGGATTATTTTCTCTCTTCTCCTCAACCCTTGATCCAAACTTGGAGGCTGCAGAGGATGGATATCCAGAGATAATATCCTCCAGTTGACGGTCAGAACTAGGCCAAAGCTCGCTAGAGCTAAAATCCGAGGTCCCGAGGTCAGACGTGGCCAACTCTGCGGACGTGTCCTCAAGATTGATGTTTCGGAGGCTGAATCTTGGTTCCACAGCCTCTATATTGACCGGCATATTATCCAGGGCCGAGTGGGTCGAGGCCGCAAAGCTTGATTTGTATGCAGAGTTGAGGTCAGAGGAGAGGATAGAGTCCAGGTTTGCATTTTGTTTGGTTTCCTCAATGATTTCTCGAGCAAACGAAGATTTAAACATTGTTAGGATTTCAGAGCTCAAAATAAAAATTAATTACTCTCTCTCTGCAAAACGCAGGTTTTCACATAAAATCGTTCACATTAAAATCCTGTTTCACACTGTCTTTAAATCTCACATGTTGATGGAGGAACACACTGAGCTCCTATGGTTCCGTTATGTCACAAATTGTGAAGAGTTCATTTAAACCTGGTTTGTGTGGCTCAGGGTGCAAGTTTCTACTCAGCTCCGGGTACCTAGTTCTACACTGCTCCGATGTTTCGAAGCAACTGTACCACGCCACACTCTCCCATCATAGATACAGGGGCGCATTCAGTTACATGTTTGCATTGATACAGGGGGATACAGGGTTAAAAAGGTCTAGAGATAAAATGATAGAGAGATACAAAGATACAGAGATACAGAGATACAGAGATACAGAGATACAGAGATACAGAGGTACAGAGATACAGAGATACAGAGATACAGAGATGCTGAGATACAGATACACAGAGATACAGAGATACAGAGACAAAGAGATACAGATATACAGAGATACAGAGATAAAGAGATACAGAGATACAGAGATACAGAGATATAGAGATACAGATATACAGAGATACAGAGATACAGTGATACAGAGATACAGTGATACAGAGATTCAGACATTCAGAGATACAGGGATACAAATATACAAGATACAGACTACATATATACAATATATAATACAGAGATACGGGATACAGGGATACAAAGATACAGAAATACAGCAATAAAGATTTATAAGGATAAAGATAAGCAGGGATCCAAAAATACAGGGATAAAAAGATCCTGGGATCCTGGGATACAAAGATACAGGTAAACAAAGATACAGAAATACAGTGATAAAATAATCCATGTCACGTGGATTTAACGGTTCTGTCAATATTTCAGAAAGCTGTGACTTTCAATCACGATTTGACCCCTTATACATAACTTTATAGCCTTTTTTCTAAAATATTTTTTTGTTGGCATATACATTTTGAATGAAAAAGTATAAAATAAACAAATCTGTAAGTTTAAAGATTGTTGAAATATAGACGAAAGCACGTTTGATTTCAAATAAAAGAAACAGGATGTTTCTCACTCTGGTTAGTGATGTGTATAATGTATATGGATACAGGAATACAGGGACAAAGGGACGCAAGGATACAGGAATACATGGAAACATGGATACAGAAATTACGTTACAGGTATACATGGATAAAGATTTAAAAAGAATCAATGTACTCTTAATAATATGAAAACAAAGGTAAAATAATATAGAGTATTTTATTAGCTTTAAGTGCAAATATGCTATCAGATTTCTCAACAAGTGATACAGTCAAATTCTCATCAAATACAAAATAAAAAAGCAATAAAGCATAAAAACGACCTTTTCTTACAATTTTCTAAATATATAAGTTTGTACGTACATATATTGGATAAAAGAGAAATGCATATCATGGATAAACAAAATATCATTAAATTAAACTATGTAAGAAAATAGTAACCCGGTTCAAAACTAAGAATTTATGCATCTATTGTCCGTTGTGATAATTTTTTTTATTTCAATCCTTTTCTATTTATGATATATTTTATTATAAAAATCATTAATTTAAAACATACATCATTGTTAAATTATGAAAACTATTGGTTAAAATTAACTAGACTGTCGCTAAACTGTTTTTTTTTAAAGATTGTTTGTTTAGAGACAAAATTTAATGATAAAGCAAATAGACACTTATTAAATCATAGATTTAGTGAGATGGGTCTGTTTACACTGCACAGCTGTTGTGTCTTATACTCATTGTACTTTTTAAAGTTATAACTTGATTCTAAAAGTTGTCTTCCTATTTCAGAGTTTTCTAGTTATCACTGTATTTTATTTACAAAAAATAAAAAATAAAAACTGTTTCTTAAATTTGGCCTCGCGTCGTCAGTTGTTTTCAGTGTATTTTCCTTAATCTAAACAATCATATCATGTATTTGTTGATATGCTTCGATACGACCTTGCAGTTCATGCCCCCTTGTTTAATACGGTTAGATAATTGTATAATTAATTCAATTGTTGAAATATATTAATAACAATATCAGGATTAGTTTTACGGTACGATGAATAATTAAACGGAGATTTAAACTTTTGAATCTTAAATCTCTTCAGCCTTTAGCCGATCCCTCTCAACGGTTCAACCTTTAGACACCAACAAATCTTTAAATCATTTTAAATTATTTTCGTTGATTTCCCTTAATCTTGATACACATTGAATACAGATTTAAATCGCTTAAGCTAATCCCCTTCTCAAACAAAAATTTCGAACTAAAAACTATAATAAAATATTAAGATTTCAAAATATATAATGCAAGCTCATTAATATTTTTTGAAATTAAAAGCTGAATAAAAGCTATAATACTTTTTGATCTACGATTTGTTCATCTATGGTTAGAATAGTCATTTTAATGAGAGCATTTCTGTATTGTTTGAATCTAAATATCATGAAATGTTTGAATACTTCAAATAACTTTAATTTCATGTTTGATAGAATATACAACAAGGGTGTCCCAAAAAAACAAGGGAATTAAGTGACGACATCTACATTTTTGTTCCATCATTTTAAGACCCAATCCTGCAGTTAAAGTTAATAGATTCGGGAATTCCAAAAGGAACTGAGTTTTTGCCACAAAATCAAATTTTTCAATCCATATAACTATGCAACCTGACGGCGTAAACCTTTGATATTTCAAACTTAGATTATTCAATAAAACAGGATTCATAGTTTTAAATATCAAAGGTCTTCAACATTGGACTGCAAAAATAAAGGAGTTAGAAAATTTGAGTTTGTGACAAAGACTCAATTCCTTTGGTCTACCTTTGTTTTTCTTCTGTATAAATTAGTCAAGTTAACCATTTAACAAATAAAAATTAAATTGCTCAAATATATTATTTAATTCTAAAGAAGGAAGGAAGAAAGGTCACATTTACAAAGAAAATTTTTTTTTTTTTTCATTGGGACATCATTTACTAAAAAGCATACTTAAAGGAACAGACCGGCTATGTAAGGTAGTTGAACTGAGTATGCAGTGCTGTGGACAAATTCTTTATAATTCATTTGAGACATGTAAAACGTTTCCACGATGTAAACGGAAATATAGTTTTTTCAATAGCTAATTAGCTATTTAGTTTACCCCAAAATTATCCAAATAAGTGAACGGTCCCTTAAATGAAAACATAAAAAGCGTGCTGAAAGCTAAGTAGTTATAAGGCTTTAGAAGAAAATCAATCAGTCTAGAAAACAGTGAAAAGATTAAAATATATAAGTTGTACGGATTCTCACATCTTTTTAACACCCACAAAAATCATTTTTCAAGATATAGAAAACGACTACATTTTCCTCATTGATGCTTAAATCAAGGTTAATTAATTAATATATAAAGACAAAAAGTTGTATAAATTATCAAGACTGGGGTGACTTTAAAGTGTTGCACCGCCTAGGCTTTATATTTTTTATGTTAAAAAGAAGTAATTTGCGAAATAATGATAGATTTAGGCGTCACTGCTTTAGATTACTTCATGTTACGAATTCGACATTCTCCTTATCAAGAAATATATAGACCAGGAACCGCCATATCTGATGCGTCAAATCTGTGTACTGCAGTGGGAGGAAATCAAAACAAAGAATTCAGGGGCAACGCAACATTTTTGAGGGAAAAGGGCCCAAGGGGTGGAATAAGAATATATTGCTATTGTATTTTCCATAATGACCAGAAAGCCAAAAGTAATAAGAATTCGCTCTAACTTGAAATATTAACTTGTTTTAATTGTTGGACTGTAATATCACATCAGAGCTGTAGTGTAGTCCTTTCCCTTCAACTTCTGTGGGTGGCGCTGGGGTTGTATACATTCCTCCCACAGTGTACAGTACATAATTTGCGTATATCTAAGTTGGGCGTTCCTGTATATAGTTCCTTGCTCCTTATTATTGAGGATCACGTGACCACTTTGAACTACGGCCACAGTCCCATTAAAAAATGTGCATTATAATCTAATGAATTGTAATTAAAGACAAAAATGTAATGTAAGCATACTAAATGTGTACGCATTGCGTACACACCGTGGGAACCAGTTTACGAAAATGCCTGCGCAAACCGGAAATGTGTTTATTCATAAACATTTCTTGAAGCGAGAAATCGTGAGAAGAAAAAATAACATGAGAACCTCTTGTTCTGGAAGTATATAAAGGAGCTTTGAAAATATACACTATTTTTATAAGTATATTTATTTATAACAGAAGCAGAATTACATATCTAATCAGAATATATGTGAGGGGATTAGTAGTTTTTTAATGCTCGTCTCCGTAACTACTGGTTTTTAATGTTCTCGTCTCCGGAACTACTGGTTTTTAATGTTCTCGTCTCCGGAACTACTGGTTTAATGGTCTCGTCTCCGGAACTACTGGTTTAATGTTCTAGTCTCCGGAACTACTGGTTTAATGTTCTCGTCTCCGGAACTACTGGTTTTATGTTCTAGTCTCCGGAACTACTGGTTTAATGTTCTAGTCTCCGGAACTATAACTGGTTTAATGTTCTAGTCTCCGGAACTACTGGTTTTTAATGTTCTAGTCTCCGGAACTGCTGGAATGTTCTCGTCTCCTGATCTACTGGTTTAATGTTCTAGTCTCTGGAACTACTGGTTTAATGTTCTAGTCTCCAGAACTACTGGTTTTTAATGTTCTCGTCTCCGGAACTACTGGTTTAATGGTCTCGTCTCCGGAACTACTGGTTTAATGTTCTCGTCTCCGGAACTACTGGTTTAATGTTCTCGTCTCCGGAACTACTGGAATGTTCTCGTCTCCTGATCTACTGGTTTAATGTTCTAGTCTCCGGAACTACAGGTTTTTAATGTTCTCGTCTCCATAACTACTGGTTTGTGGATTTATCTTATCTTGTTTGTGGATTTCTTCCTAGGTAAAAAATACTATATGGCTTCGCTACAATGTTCTTCATGTATTTAATCACATCATTTTTTCTAAAGAGATATTGATAAAAAATCATATTTAGAATTTTTTTTTCAAGAAACCGGACATACAGGGTGACCCACGAAACATAACAAATGGAGAATAGTCTTGAATGTCTTCTTCCATACACCGCGTTTTATATATCAAAGACTTGGAAGAAGACATTTTTAACCATAATTAACGTTTAGTTTGATACCCTGTACTTGCTTTTATTCTTGGTTGAAAATTAAGTTTTAAGGAGTTTTGAGGTTGCAAAGTCGTGCCAATATTTCTGCATTGAATGACTTTTTGACAGTTGTAAATATTAGAACAGAGAGTTAGATGCTGAAGAAATGAT